AAATTCCTTAAAAAAATTTGTTCGTTTTTATGTTATCCATAATACATAAAGATTAAAAATTTTAGGGTGGTTTTGTAGTTATGCATGACAGTGCATAATCCATAGCCTACGCAGAAGAATATTAATCTCATTTATCTAACTTCAGAGATGAGTTCTAAAAGCCAGTAATGAATCTAAAATCAGTTCGTTTGCGAAGAAACATAACATTTTTTCATATTATTACAAATAACGGCAATATTCAAAGTGGACATAGTTATTGCCCCACCCTGTATAAAGAAACAAATTTTTTAGATTTAGTTTCATTTCCATTTCCATTTATGTAATTAAGACATCAATCAATTTATCATTGATAGAGAATGCATCGTGTTAAAATAGTAAATATGTAAAACAGCATTTAACAATATTATAATTGGTCTGAATCAATTAATAAATGTAAAAGATAAGAATATTTTGTGTCAATGGGTACATCATGAATGCCAGTAAATTTCAGAGTTATTTTATTTCTATATGAACGTGGTAGAAATTGACATTCTACAGAAATGATATTTATGAACTTATTTAGTAAAAATCAAGTAACACTTTGTCAATAATAACATATTTATACATATTTACAAGACCATTCACATTTATACTAACGACCGTATCGGGATGATGAAATAAGCAGTAAAAGTGCAATTGACTTGGAGGAGACGTGCAAAATGTGTAATGGAGTGTTCTTTAAACTCTCGAGCAACTACCTGAAGTACTCTTCCTCAATAACTCGGCCAAGAAATGGCTTCATTGTGCTCGGGCATGGTAAGCTTTCTCGTTCGAACATTTCACCATGTTCGTGTGCCTGCAACAAAATTTCTACACACAATCTCTGTCCTTATGTAGACAGATTTTTAACGTCCTCCGCAATTCCGTCCCCGCTTTCTTCGAACTGTAACCAGCGGATAAAGATGTTTTGATTTCTCGGCAGATTCAAGTACATATACATATGTATATATTTCATAATTCCGTCAAAAATGTGTTATAACTGCGAGGCTCACTCGTGTATTCGGTATTATGAAATGTTACATGATATACGGGCTATTCCACGTGACGACACATATTTTTACGCTGTTGGGACATCGAAGAGGGTGACAGTTCGCATAGAATACGATGAAAAACTATCGCTATGATTTTTACACATTGACACTCCCACTCATAAATGCTAGGACACGCATAAAATATGCAATATTTCTTACAAAATAGTACGAAATTGTTGAAAGTCTGAAAGAAGTATTGTTTAGGGAATATTAACGCTTAATGGATAACGATTATGCTACTGTACATGAATAACCATGGCCCAAAATTTATAATTTTTACGAAACGTCACATTTTCTTAATACAGGTCAGGTGTCCTAATATCTATGAGTGGTAGTGTGTGTCGTATTCAAGTATGTAAAACACAAGAGAAGGAATTTCAGAGAGTAATAACTAATACAGTTTTTATTTCTTTTATGGTGTAATGAATTTAAATGAGAAAACAAATTTCATTTTACTTACGTTTTTTGTGAAGTAATCTCTGAAAGTGAAAATTACCTCCATGAGCCCGACTAGATATTCCATCTTTGTAATTACGTAGCGAACTTTACATTTTTATTTATAATGTACGCAAAAATTTTAAGAAGATATTTTAATTAAGGTTAACGAAACCCGTAATAAAAGAGAGACGTTCTTGTTTAACTCATGCTCTTCTAAATTAATTACATAATTAATTTTCGTCGTAATGATTCATTATTTCATCCGACAATTTCATTATGTAATTTAGCTTGTACGCAGCAATAAGATAACATTAACCATTCTACTATTTGGAGCGTGAACGGAGACTGTCCAGCAAATTGAAGTGAAATGAAATTAACGAAACGAACAGCTTTGTCTTCGCCAGTCGTAAACTTGCTCTAACGACATTATGACTTTTCCTTTTTTTCAATTGGGTGAAAGACGCGATTTTCGAGATGCGGAACTGATATTCGAATACAAGGAACCTCCGAGGCCGGTCAACGTAGTCGAAAGATGACTCGAGTTTTCAAGTGGGTCAGTAGGCTGTGGCCCAATGGCACGCCTCGAGTCCGGCAAATCTTTTTCGAACACAAATTCCAAACGTACCTTTCACAAACTTTGGGACATTCGATAGAATTTGTGTAGACTGTATGGAAACAATATTTTAATTAAATTTTATAACAAATTGAGGATTTTATGCATTTATAGGATTTACGGTTGTCTAAAATTCAGTGTAACAAAATGTTTAATAAAGTTCAATAAAACATTCATTTCATTTGGAATTTCATATTGCCCTTAAAAGAGTAAACAAATTTTATTTCAATTCCAATTTGTATAAATTAGTCCTCAAAACTCTGTAATTTGCACAAGGGTTAGTTATGCCATTAACGAAGTTAAATTCCATTTGACGAAATGAAGAAGTTGCAAAAATAAATAAGTAGAAATACTGTATAATAAAAACTTAAAAAATTTACAATTTATGTTTATTTGTAATTTGATGGATACAATATGTTATATACATCGATCTATTAAATTGTTCACAGCAGATGAAGAATTGATTTACCTTACACAAAATTCGGTCCACAAGCCAATGGTGACATAATAATAGTCTATTTAAGGACAGTTTCACGAAATTCGTGACTAACTGCAGAATCAAGGAAATTTCGGTGATTCATCGATTAATTTTAGAAGTGAAAGTAAATGTGACAACAAACTCGTCTACTTTAGTAAGACCTTTTAAGGAATACGATAGAATACTTCTTAAAACAAAGAGCATGTAAAAGTCTGTAGTGATTCCAATTTTATAGTGTGCATTTCGTAGTGTACACAGTGTATATTTGAACTCTCTTCGGCACTTGTGTGAGTTCTTTCTATTATTATCCAAGGAACCGCAAATAAAGGATGGTTTGACGTCTTCCATGAAAAAATGACATTAATCTTGATGCTCGAGGACATTTTGACAGAGAGTATATTAGAAAACCTGTCATCGTTGTTCCGTGGCTATGACAGACAATGGAACATGTATATGTATAACGCTTGATGACTGATTTCACTGGAAGATTATCTTCGCGAGGAGGAAACGATTTTGTGGAAATATTAAGCTATTGCGGTGAACGACAAGTATAAATGTTTTTCTAAAACAACTGCAATTCTCAATATATGTATAAGATTCTTATACAAGATGTCCTGCAAGTGGACGTTAGTCTGAGAACTACGGAAAATTCAATTTTGTAAAAGTTCTAATACTGATGAATAGTTCTAAGTGGCCTTTCCAGTTCGTGTAAGGAAGTCCCAATACTTGTGTGTAAAAAGTTATTCATAATGAAAGTTATGTGTAATAATTTCCAATAAGTATAATAAGTACAGTAAATGATTCTTATGTTTTAAAAGTAATACTTCTTTAGCATTAGAAGAACCAAACCCGTCAAACTGATGAATATAAAATTTCTTATTTTACAATTAGGTACTGAAATCATAAAGGTACTTTTGTCGGAATTAACGTTGTCTGTTAATTTATTACAAATTTTACATTATACTATATTCTCATATTGTATCGCATATTATACAATAGAGGACAAAAAAGGTACCACTTCTTTGATTCTTTTAACTTCTATTATTTTTCAACGTCCACTTGCAACATACCCAGTTTTATGCAGCTTTGAAATCTTTATCAGAATATATATCAAAGTTTTAACTTGATGTTAAAAAATAATAAAAGTAAAAGAAATCGAAGAAGTGGTAACTCTTTTGACCGCTACTGTATATATTGACATGTTATACAATTTAGTTTAGCATACATTCAACGCTGGAAGTTCTAGTGTTAAATGATTAAGCTTTATAAAGTATTATATAATCGATATAGGAGAAGAATTATCTGCAAATATACTAAATGTATGCAATTGCGACGGAAAGAAACTGAATAATTCTAAAATGTCCTTAAAGCAAAAATATGAAGGTACTATACAAAATTCCACAGAAGCGTAGAGAAAAATTAAATTCTTTTCTTTATTAAATATGATCATTGTCGTTACATTTCATCAAACTTCATTCCCCGACTCATCAACCCAAATCCGACGTTTACAGACGATTAAAGGATCAATAGCACAGATTAGGTGATATAACGATAGTTGATCAAATGCCCCTGCAAATTTCAAAGATCATATCAGAAATGGTGTTCCACTCAGAATCAGTTCAAAATTTTTCATAACAATGACGTCCGTCGAAGTCGGCAACGACCAAGTCCCTGGTAACTGATCCAGCTCAAAGTAACCAGAACTGTGGCTTTCCATCGTAATGTCGCTTCTACAAAATCAACTGGAATTTTTATGCTAATAATCCGGTTCTCAAAACATAGACTCTCTCCGAAAGTATTTTTATGGTTCTTAAATACGTGTCACAACCACAACCTTAATACTATGCTCGAAATTAAAGTGAATCATTTAAATCACATTTTATTTATCGTCCAATTCAAGATTATAATTTGTTCGTGGAGCAGGACACAATAATGTTTACTCGAGTTCCATTTTATACATAACATTACAGTGGCGGACAAAAAAGTTACTACTTTTCTAATTCGTTTTATTTTTATTGTTCCTAACATCAGCTTGAAACTTTAATATTTATAATTTTATACAGCTTTTGTTTCTCTATCAGAGTATATATTAAACACATACTAAAGTTTTAAGTTGATGTAAAAAAATAATGAAAAGGAAACAAATCGAAAAGGTGGTAACTTTTTTGTGTCCTACTTGTACATGTATTATACGTCGCGAATTACGATGAAACCCACATGGTGTTGGAAAGTCGAAAAATTCACAGGTGTATCTTAAATTCTGAAACATAAGAATAAGTACTATTGTTTCGAATAAATTTTTAGAAATCCTTTAAGAGATCAGTTACAAAACGATGGCGACGAAGTCAGTTTGGATCGGAACAGGGATCCATGGTGTTCTTTTCTTCCGATTTGGTTGCAGGATGCACGTGGCGGGAGACGCTAGGGACGTGCGTGTTTCAGTCGGACTTTGGTTTTGCGTTAAACTGCGCCTTCAAAAAGTCCGGCCTCTTTCGGGTACGAAATCTTGGAGGCGTCAAAGGCTACGTCGGCCTGGGTGAGTCGAAACAAGCACCGATGCCGATGGAACAATAACATTAAACCAGCAACGCTGCACGAAATTATCAGCGTTTCTCTTAAAAACGGACACGAATCTCCTAATAGATAATACAAATGCAAACACACATTAGAAAACTAGAATAAGGTTAACAATGTATAACTCATATACACGTAAGCAGAAATAAACCTTCACTGGGGTTCCAAATGCCCGATAAACAAAAATACATATACACTATAGAGTATTGATTCGTAGAAGATACCAATTGAGTTGTCATAATTAACCACTTTGTATATTTTATAAATTAGTAAGTTATTGTAGTTCGATTGTAAATATTTAGAACATTCCTATTAATAATTGTATTTTTTAATGTATTTCTTTGTATAATATATATTTGGGACCTTCTGTTATACTATTATAAATAGTATTTCGTAATACTATCGTACCGTACGCTATAAAAATATAAAATTTTGTGGTTTAATTCATTTTTATGACTCTGATAAGTGGTGACTTCTACATGAGAAATGGTGAAAGTAAAAATTCGAGTTTGCATATTCGCTGAAGACTTATTATGTCCGTCAACTAGCCCAGGAATTGAATATGAATGGAATGTGAATTAAATAGTTAGAAATATTCTATTTTGAATCTTGAGAATATTCAGTGCGAATAAATACCACGCTTGTAATAATAAAAAGTTGAATTGCTTTGTGTGAAAAAATCTATGACGACATTATGGTGAAGGACTTATTTGATATTGCTTCTTGTCACAGTAAAAACTTTTACATCAAGTTCAACTGTTTCTTTTTCGTAACTTTTGTCCAGTGGTTCATATACTCATTATTATTGCTTTTTATTGTCGTTTGGATCACTTACACTTCGATAATTATTATGAGATCTGGCAAATTAACCATTCGGAAGTGTACATTAATAATACACTTTCTATTCCTAATTCTACCTTCCGTTTCGTGACCCAATTTTACGAATCGACGAAATAATATACTGTCTCATCGAACGACAAAAAAAATGAATGATGACTGCATGTCAGTGATCATTATATAAGACTCGAGTTATGGCATACATTGCAAGTACTTTACAAATGTGTAGCAGTAAATTAATGAACATGAATAATTCTTAAACATTTGTTTTATATATATATATATATATATATATATAACTACGTTTATGCATAAGGTGTGCTTCGAATATGAAAATTGACTTTTTGTTATTTAATTAAAAGGCTATTTATGCTAAACATGTTTTTATATAGCAACTTTTCAAAGTTAAATTAAATAGGAGTTTATTTACTCCGTTAATGATTTCATTAAATTAAGAATAATAGTTCCTAATTCACTACATTCTATTGAAATTTTAGTCATTCTATATCCACATCTGTTATAAATGCATAAAATCAGACAGTTAGTCTTGTTACCAACATGCTTTGAAGCATAGTTGGGCCATGTTACGCAAAAAGCTACCAACCCTCAATGATCTGGATTCTAGATTCTAGAACGAAGAAAAAATTTGAAGATTTTCATATAAAAAAAAGTAGCTTTATCTCTTTTCTTCTTGGGTGCATTTTATTTCTTATTGTTATTTTACGTTCTTAATGGCTTATTTAACAGTGAGTAGTATAATTAATTTAATTTTTTATTTTCTATGGTTTGGTAGTTCTAATAATTGTATAATATAAGAATCGTTCTAAGGGATTGATAATTTTTTGCAGAATAAAGATCCCAAAATTATGAGGTTCGTACTGTGTTTACCTAATTTTTTGTCATTTTCAGGGTTAGTAAGTTTCTCCATAACATGGCCTAGTTATCCTGCAATAATGAGTCAATTTTATTTATAAAAACGCAGATACCTATAGTGTACTAAATGTAGTAGTCTGAAACTAACATAGACATCAATTTTAAAAATAAATTATTCCCCTTACAACCATAATTTATAATTAAATACATGTTATATCGTAATTACACGGAAGATCCTAAAGACATTTTGCATTCCTGAATGATAATCATCCGATCCGCCAGGAAACGATGCAGAAAATGACCGAGCATGATTCGTAATACAGCGATCAATCAGGTGACAGATGGACATAATTAAAGATGACTTTCAAATTAAGATACTTGCTAATTTTCAACAGAGATGGGCAAACTCATTATCTAGATAAAAAGTTTCGAATAACGAATAAAAGATAAAAAAAAGTATTTCGTCATTTTTAATTGTTTAAACGTGGAAATTTCAATTTTCATAATAAAATAGAACTTCCTTATGAATGAATCGACATTTGTCGAACAATTATTTAATATCATTAACTGTTTAAAGCTCAGGACGACACCCTTAGATACTGCTGCTTTTCACTGTGTACTATTCGAATAAAATTGTGCCCAACTCTGCTTCTCAACCCACTTTTATCGTAATACAAGACTAACTAGGGGAAAAAAGATAGCTCTTCACCTTGACCCGACCTGGATCGCCCATTGAGATGCCACTGGCACTCTCGTAAAGAGACATCTCCGATGAAAACGTAATTTGCATTAGGCACGTACATAACCCGTCATAGGGATCAAAGAAGCCTTCCCGTAAAAACCCACGGTTGTTCGCGTGTTTGTACAACCGCGCAAAAACGTGGCGTCGTGTTCTTACGTAACAAACGGTTGCTTAACTTTCTTCGAGGTTTCTTCTTTTCACGGGATTATGCTGGTGTCTAACCCTTTCGGAGCAGCGGCACTTGCTTCGTGTATAATTCGTAGCGAAAGTAGATTTCTTGCGGATAAACGGAAAAAAATTCTTTTGGGAATTATTCTAAGCAGGTAAAAGATGTATGCGAGATAAATTAAAATTAGAAAGTACAGAAATGATAATTAGTGGACTGCAGATTTTATGCATTTGTAGCGAATTTGAAAGTATAATATACAGTGACTGTCACTTAAAATCATATAGTTCAGTCGATTTTTTCTATGAAATGTCCAATCATAATAAATAATTGTAACTCACACAAGAGCATGTCGTTCAATGTTTCTTTATTTGATATCTAAGAAAGGTATCACACAATTTTTATATCGTCAGTAATTATTGATAGTCATTGTATCTGTCGAAGAATACGCAATATTAAAACAAATCAGTATTAATTAGTAAATATCCCAAAATGAAAACATGAAATTTTATTCATTCTTATTCCAATTAATATTGTTTACACTATTATTTTCAGGATTTTCCGTCGGCGATGAGTTGGGCTTTAGTCAATCGCTGTCTAATGTAGAAGCTACAAAAAGGAGAAGTGTATCTACTAGGGGAAGTGGGCAAACCTACACTAATGCGGTAAGAATTTTATAATATTCACAAAAAAATAACGCTTCCTAAAAAATAATTCTCTTAAAATTGAATTGAGATTTAAATTATTCTCTGATTATTTCTTATTATGTGCTGGGCTAAAAATATATCATCATTTTGCTGTGTATAATTTCTTGATAAATTCTGATTACATAATACTATAACAATATTATCATACATAAATATTTTATTCACGATAATAAATTCAAATATTCCTTTTTCTATTAAACTAGTAGTTTAAAACGTGATGGTATGCTTCGTATAAACTAGTTCAAGGAAAGTGCAAGACGGATAAGAGAAGAACCGTAGAAGTTGGAAAATATTCCACCGTAATGTTCCCAATGCCAAGATGTTCTCCTTTGTTTTTTCATGGCGTTAATTGAATGTATTCGAGCTGCGGCCGCGGAGCACAGGCATTTCACATTGGTCTTGTATAATCTTGAACTACATCTCACACCATACATTTTCATTAGATGCGTTTTTATTCGATTCGTGACGAATCGAGCAGCCATTATAACAATAAAATTGACGAATGATTAGAAACAGGAGAAAAAATCTTTGTGCAAGGTTAATAAGATTAGATATGGCTTCTTCCATGCATACCGAACGCGTCGAGGTTAAATTATCAATACGATTTATGAAAAGGAGTAAGACAAAAATTTTATATACAGAGGTGTGTGCATTAATGGCTTGAAGTTATAACAAAATATAGTAACACAATCTTCTTTTTGGAAATAATGTTTCATTTATACTTTGTATACACATGCCCAGTAGTTTATGTACTTCCAGAACCAGACTAACCCAAATGCAAGATTTTAATTTTACAGCAGATCAAAAAATCTCACCGATTTCATATTTTTCCTCTAAAAAGCAACTATTTTTATGAATATAAGATTCTAGTTTATTTTAATTTATTGAATAAATTAGTCGTTCAAATGGTCCCTTTTTTTTATGATGTAACTTGAACAATTTTCTATGGCTTCAGTAGAGTACTTTAAGTGTAGTAAGATGGTAATAACTCAATTTTTCAAAAATGGACTTGGGTTAGTCTGGTTTTGAGGTGTAAAATTATCTAAGTCATATGACTCAACTTAATTTGCCCCTCGGTATAAAACTGACAAGTGGTAAAAAATTAATATAATGACAATATAAATACTTAAATTTAGAAATTCTTTGAAATAAAAGTCATGCTCAGCTAAAACCTACACATGACAGAATAACATCATTTCTTAGGAGAAAAATCTGTCAAATTGACACAAGGGATGGATGAGGGTTAATATTTTTATCACTAACCGTACCGACCGCCGGACAAATGAACGGTTTTAAATAGGGTACAAATAGGTATATAAAAGTCTCGGTAAGGTTAGTGTTAAATCTCTTGTTAGTATGTCACGTGATACGCACATTCTTCACTTCTGTTTACAAATTGTCCAGTTTCTCTCGTGTCGAATGAGTTACTTTCCTCTAACCGTGGCACAATCTCGACCGTATCCGAAAGCACTCGCTCGGCCTTGTCGCAATCGGTGCGTGAATGTCGATATTACAGCGCTTCCAACTTTCCGCAACAATAACACGGTCTAGTACAAGGTTTGCTGTTCTGCCAACGTACAATAATGCAAATGACGTATACATTGAAACGTCATAGAAAAAAATAAAAAGGAGGGCTGAACGAATTAGGACAAGGCTTCAGAATTTCTACTGTACGATCGACACTCTTCGCGGTTAAAGTGCACGCGCGAAGTTTTTTGTTCGTGACGCTCCCTTGAAACGATTCCCATCGCGCTAAGTTTGTCTTTTATGGTTTGAATCTACAATAGCTCTATTTTCGTGTTCATCGAGCTATTGCAACACCGATTCTTCCAGATGTACAAAGCTCTATCGAAAGAGATTTGGTTACAACGAAACGATAAAGAATCAATACTAAAAGAGCATAAAGTATTATACAATAGCGGACAAAAAAGTTATCACTTTTCTGAATTTTTTCATTTTCATTATTTCTTAACATAAACTTGAAACCTTTATACATATAGTGGGTTTTATACAGCTTCCAATTATCTATCAGAATATACAGGGTGGACTACGAAACGTGATCCGGTTAGATTGTTCTATTGTTATAAATGGAACTATTTTTGTAAGCAAACTATTTATAAGATTATTGTACGTTATCAATGGAACTAAGCAGTCGTTTCTTAACTGTTTACGCGAGTATATTGCAGCTGGTGGACACCAGTTTGAACTTCGTTTTAATTAAGGTAAATGGTATTTTCTTATCGTTCCTTTGGTTTATAAGAAAACAAATTATTTGTTACGATGCTTGCCGAATTCGTCTCAGAATCCGTCAAGAGATGAGCGTAAAATAGTGATAGGTTTATCTATAAACAAAACTGAAGGTGACCTTGAAAACTCTGGGAAAGAGGGGTTGACAAAGGTACAATCATGTTACCTTAGCTAAAAAAAATTTCAATCGAACAGATAGCAGTAGAATAATCTAAACTGATCACGTTCCGTGGTCCACCCTGTATATTGAACGTATACTACAGTTTTAGTTGACGCTAAAAAATAATAAAAATAAAACAAATCCTTTGTCCGCCACTGTAGATACACCTTGTATACTTAAAACTTGAAGTCTGTCTGTCAGCTCGTACTTTCAATGAACAAGTATTTCTTTCGATTGCGTGACAATTTAAAAAATCACATAAAAAGATAAACGAATTATGTGTTCAAGGCTTCGAATCGCGACGAAGTCAGACAGCACGTACAGAACACTCGACAAGTGGTGCCTCCGTTCAAACCTTTGCCCCCTGGCGCGGCTCGACCAATTGCCCAGCAACCGGAACGCCAGAAATTGGTTGTCCAGCAGAACACCACGGTCCTAAGGACCGTACCAGCGCCGTCTTTATCGATGACGCAGCAGGATCTGACGAGGCAGCAACAGCAATTGGCGCAACAGGAAGCGAAACAGAAGCAGCAACAGCAATTGATACAGCAGGAAGCGAAACAGAAGCAGCAACACAGATTGCAGCAGGAGGCGTTCGCGTTGCAGGTGCTGAAGCAACAACGACTACAGCAACAGGAGGCTACGAGGCAGCAGCAGTTGCAGAAGATACAACAACAACAACAACAGCAACAATTAGTGGCGCAACATCAGAAGAGGCATCAACAGATGCTCACGGTGCAGGTGAAGAGGGATCAGGTAACTGCGTTCTGCATTCTCTTTCCGTCAATAACATCTTTTGTGGTGGTTTTAATAAGGATACTTGGTCAATCATGCTTAATTCTGTTATAGTCGTCGGGTTTATTTCGATCCAATCACGTTTTGGTTTCATTAAGGGTGATACGACTTTGCACAGTTTTTGGACTTGATCTTAATCCATCTCTTCAGAAATGGTTTTTGGTTTGCGATGTGTATTTGGAAATAGTTACTGACCTGCATGTTTCTTCTTCCGATGTATGGTAAAATGTGGACGGAAAAAAATGGCTTTTGCCCCATCCTACAAGAAAAAAATTGGATTCTGCCCCCCCCCCCTCCGCCCACCCTTCCCAGAGTTTCAAAGTTTTTGCGTAATATTTAATATTGCAGTATAATTTGAAACACGACTAACAGCCTCTATTAACAAAACGCATAAAATTTCAACGATTTATGACTAAAAACAAAATAAAGTTTGTCTGGTTACGTACAGCATTTTCACTGTGGCAGTCGATGTGTTAATATTTTTGCTCTCCCCTGACTGATAACCTGGCTGCGCTCATGTACTTGGATTACCAACGAACAATTCATTATATCGTTTACCACGCAGAATCTTTAATTCGACGTATGTTTTTTCTCGAAATCGATAGACACCGCAGATGCTCGCAGTTGCATCCGCAGTGCCAGGAAAGCTGCCCAACATCGTCGCTGCTATTCCGCCAGCCGGAAGCATAATGGAACAGGACTCCGCATCCAAACCTATAATTGCAAGCAGTGGTCTGCCCCCTTTCCTCTCGATGCCACAATCGTCAGCACAGTTGACCGACCGTATTAGTCATAGCCCCACTATCTTGGAAGACGCTGATAATGAAGTATCGAAAGACGATTTAAATCAGGTAATCCTTTTTGTTAGCAGAGATCAGTCAACAACCAGAGTTCAAATGACCCAATATAATTTCATAAATGATGTTAACAATCTTTTGAAGCTTCATTGGTCTACATTATTTTTGAAAAATTTTCAGTTTCCATTGCCTGGAGACGAGGCAGCTTCATCCGTGAACGAAATGACATTGCTCTCTCTCCACCCAGTCTCCTCTGAAAGTAGTCAAGCCATGGCGCAGCAACAAACGGACAAAAGACAATCGTTACCATCGTCTCTGCCATCTCTAGCTCCTATTCAAGGAATGGAAACGTCTTTGAAGGCTCTAGCGGAAGCTAGTAACATTACTCTCGAAGCTCTGGAAGCGGCTATTTTACTTAGACAACAGCAACTGCTGCGTAAACAGCAGGGACCGGCGAGTACGACTACGAGCACTACGACAACGATGTCTCCTCCCAAAAAGTAATAAACAAATTTTCCTTACCTGATATAGTATTTTTTATAATTTACTGTGTAGGGATGTCAAAATTAATTTATACGCAAACTTCACAAACGAAATAGATTCTATTAGGGTATAGATGTATTAATTCTTGTATGGTTCGTATTTTTTCAGTAAATATAATTCTGGAGCCACTAAAGTAATGAACGCGCCAAGAGAATACTATCCGTTAGGCTACGACAAGAACTTCGATGACAATTTCGCCAGTCGCGTTGATCTTCCAGACACGAGCTTTTACTGCGGCGATCAGAAGCATTTCCCGGGGCTCTACGCTGACGAAGACCTTGGATGCATGGTAACATAACTTCTCATAAATTAAACGAATTGATTTATACATAAAATCGAGAAATTCGAAGCATTTCTCTAATCTGCCACCTGATGAAAATTGTGTCATGAGTGACGAAGAAACAGGTGTACTTCATAAAATTGCACAATTTTCTACTTTTTCAGGTATAAACAGTAAATTTGAGAAAGAATTATTGTAGATTACTATAAGATATATAGATTACTATACAATTTTCAAGTAACTAACTAATAGTCTATTAACAAATTTATGCAAAATGGAGCAAGAATTAGTAAGAAAAATTTGCAAAAAGTTACTAATTTTTAATATACTTTTTGAACAAATTGATATTTCGAAGAATTGCTTCCGTAAGTATTTTTATTATTAAAGAGCAGGTAATTTTCGTTAAGAAGTATTTTTTCTAAATCGAATGATTCGCAAGATATTCAGGGAAACGTGTTTTTTTACCCCCGACTTTCAGGGCTGCTTTCAAGCAGCTAAAAAGAAATAAAATATTTTTCAATGTACTATCTCTGTGCCAAGTGGCACACAAATTTGCGTGTTACACTAAAGTGACGTTCCTTGTAATTTGTAAGATTTATGAAACTATTCGTACAGATTTTGTATTCTCAGGTGAATATTTGTCTATCAGTCAATAAATTTTCACTAATATTTTTCTCTTCATCTGTGCTCAGGTATTTCACGTCTGCGCGCTGACAGACGATGGGCTGATCATGAAGAGTTTCCTGTGTCCTGAATCGACATTATTCGATCAGACTATCCTGAAATGCAATTGGTGGTTCTACGTCGACTGCAAGTCCTCGAAAGGCCTGTACGACAGTAATATCCCTATTAGCAAGAGTTACCAGCTCATGAAAGCTCTCGCGTTCTTCTCAGCGTACAAAAACCACGAGAATAGTACAACCAATGCTCAAGAAAGCTCAGACATTAATAGCTCCTGAACAGTCATCGTTGAATAGTTGGGTATCTACTGTAATCGGTTCTACGATTGCCAATTAATGTTCTTTTCATCCATTAAGTCTCGAGTTATTTGAAATTGTTTCTATTTCCTCTAACACTGAATTATCTTGCGTACCTTGTCTTGGTGAAGACGTCTTTATACAGTAAGAAATTAAGCTTTATTGTTTTTTTGGGGCATTAATGGGTTAGAAAGAACTTCTTATGAACGTATAGGACGAGGAACGTAATTCGATAAATTTTCGTGTAGCAGTGAAACGATTCTTCTCCAATATGTAGACTGCAGATATTTATGCGAGTATTTATTTCGAAAAATATTTCGCAAAAATTACAATAAAGAGAAATTGTTTTTTATCGATTCGAATATTTGATAAATTACAAGTAAAATATAAAAGTTAATATATATTAATTATAATTAATCAGTTATAATTTAATTAATCGTTTCTGTTCCATTGTTTTCCATACACTTGCATATTCTAAAAACGCATAAAATCCGTAGTCTACCAATAACGACAGACACTGCCGATCTTATTCCAAACGATAAGTGTGTACATATAATTTATTATATTAGAACGTAGTGTATGTAGCGAATAATTTTATACGACAACGAGTGTAAATAGTTGTATGTTGGTCTCTTCGTTGATGTGGCTTTTTCAATAATAATTCTATTTTCCATAATAGTAGACTTATTCTTTATTCTAAGCTTACCAGGAAATTATAAATCTTTTCTCCTCAGCCTCAAGTTACATTCAAGCTGATACGTAATGATTTTGGTTAAAAGGAAATATAATTTACGTAGAAAGCATAAACATTTATTATGGCAAATACGGGCAAATGAGAAAATAATACAAATTAAAATGCCAATATCGCCTTATTACGATTCACACAGTCAGTCTATAATTTCTCATCGTTTTGTCGTTTGAAATTTTTATTATGTACCGAAAGGCATGATTCCTGTGGACAGTTTGATCCTCCGTAACTTTAACAATCAGTGTATTAATTAATATTCTACAACGCCTACGATAATCGCAGCTTGATAAATAATTCGCTTTCTAAACGGCATAAAAGATTATTAATGTTATAATTTATTATTAATTGCGAAAGCGCGCGTCTATTGGAATCATCGAAAATGACGCGCTGAATTGTTAATTCTTAAAGTTTATATAAAATTACACATTTTTAAATGTGTTCTTCCGAAGAAACGCTGCAGAGTAGCTTTTGTATACAGGGTGTTTTAGAATTATAGGTAAAGCTAATAAACAAGGGATGATAAATGAAATTAAAGTATTATAAAGTAAGTTTGTATTATTACATGTGGCTAGAACTTTGAGAATTTGTTATACTTTCTCTATATAAATACAAATTTTTATCTTAATACACTTGTCTAAAATGAAATTTCTCCATAGAAAGATTACAGGTTAATTAAATTGCATCTACAACTCCGAAACACCCTGAACAAGAGTCGAGAATACAAAATTGTATCAGGAAGTGCAAAGGTAAGTATAAATCTACAAATGTAAAAGTTACCAAAATTCAGTCACAAGTCTAAGTATCAAAATGTTACATTTACATTGAAAATACGCTCCAACGGTTACAGCTTATTCTGCTTCCTGCTTCGCTCTGGCACACGAAAGGCAGCAAAGTTGTTGGTAGAACTGATAAGTACAGAGCCGAGCTTGTAAGACTAAGTTGCAGTTCGATATACTGTCCTTGCAATGTGGATTTTCATCTAGAACTAAAAATGGAAAGAGTAGTCTTGCACTTGCAGGACTCTGTGATGATTCTCGGATCCGTGGACGTCGTCCCTGCAAGGATAATCGTTGCAGGTCCTTCGGGTTATAGGTCTGTCTTTTTCTTTGCAATGGAGCTCGTGAGGCTCAGGTGATTGGCCATCTCTATTCAGACATCTCACTTCTCTTTTCTGAATACCTTTTCCACAGGATCGAGAGCACTGAAATCGTTGCAAAAAATGTTAATAAATCTGTTCCATTGGTTCCAATGTTAACTTTGCTTAATCTTCTACCAAAGAAGTGATGTTAACGATAATATTAACACATTGGTTATCAAACTGAAATCCATAGAAATTACGGAAAGACAAAAGCTTTTTTTTTTTAAACAAAATAGAAAGTGTACAGTCATTACTTATCAAATTTGTTTTATCTGATTAAACTATTTATTTTATTTGTTTTATCTGATTAATTATTTAATTTTGTTAATATCTGACTCTAAGTATTAATATTGTGATATTCGACAAATTGTGTTATCTATACTTGGGTGGCTTTGTAGTCGGTGTTCAAGGTATTAAATAAATAATAGACTAATATCATCTGCAGAAATGAATTTTTTTGAATTACTTCTGTCCAATCGGATATGAACCACGTGGACGTGCATGGAGGTCCGTTACAAGGTTTTCTCGTTTCCGGTTTACTCGCTGGGCAATTCATATCGAGGACCACGCGAAGGGATCCGCGAAGGGTGGTCACGCAGACGGCTTCTCTGACGTGTTCTCCTGTGTCACATTCTGTGGAACACTGAAAAGAAACAAAGAAATATACATTTACATCTCTATACAGTGTTCCGTGGCAGAGGTGATTCTGCAAGTTAAAATAAAACGAAAATAAAAAATGACGAGATTGTGATGGAGGTTTTGTTTTTAAGTTACTAACAATAAAAAATTGGGGCCAGAAACGCCTGATATCAGGCAACCTGCGTAGTTAATACACTGGTATCACTGACAAAAATACGCCCTTTATTCTTATTAGCCAAACAGTCACGACGGGTACACTGGTGTCCCCTGAAAAAATATACCCTGTCCATTGGTATAATCCCAACATCTGCAGGTCAGTCGCGAGTGGTGGCGATCCTACCTAAGAACAGGTAGTAGGTATGTATCCTCTCACTGTTTACACATTTTTATTACTTTCCTCTCCTTCTTGTGGAATACGAGTAATGTTTTCGTAGTTCGGTGACAGTCGTCAACGCGAACACATCTAGTCGCGTCGAAATAGATCTCGAATTTTTTGATCGTAATAATTTTTAATTTATTTATTATAGTGAGTTGTAGTTTAGGTTAAGTTAGTTTATTTAGTGCTTATTCTGTGTTCAGGCTTAACATCGTGCAACGTTTCGTCTGTGGTTTTTTATGAAGTGTCGCAAGAAAACAGCCTAAGTTCGAGTGCAAATGTTATACGTCAATATTTTGGCTATGAGGTAAGGATATACTTTTTTTAGGCGACGTCAGTGTACTTACCGACACTGTCGTGCCGTACGTTTACCGCGTGTACGCACATTGCCTGGTTACAGGCGTTTTTAGCCTGAATATTAAACGATTAATAACTTGAAAACGAAGCTTCCAACACAATTTCCTTATTCTTGATTTTCGTTTTATTTTGACACATAAAATCACACCTTAAAGTTTCTGACACCAATTGCCGAACATCCTGTATAATAATGATTTCCGAATACATGTTAGACTTCGAGATAAATTATAGACTTCCTTATCTGAATTGTGATTCAAATCTAAATTTCGGTAATTAGTTAAAGATTATCGTTCAAGCACGAAAGTTAACATCAGCTTTCGTCTTTGATGCCTCTGGATATGATAATAATCAAACCTCAGACCAAGGTCCTGTGAACCATTGCCCGCTGCAGGTCCTGTTACTGGAGCAGGTTCTCGTAGTTTCCGGTCTAGTCGATTGGTCGCAGAATTCTTCCTCGGAGCTGTTCTCGCAGAAAACCTTTCTGGTTTGCACGCCAGTCCCGCAATCGGATGAGCACTGCGAAGTTATTAAAATTACACAAAATATCGATAAAGAAAATTCAGAACAGGACCCGCGAGGAACACAATTAAGTTGAGATTATCAAGGTCAGTTGTGAGGGTCAAATGAAACAAGAGTGTCTTCAGATTGTAACAGGGAATAAAGGTTTCTTTAAAACCTCATTTCGAGACTTCAACCAGGTGGCAAAGTACGATGTATTCAGTCAGGAAATTGAACAATGCTATCTGATTTATCATGTGGGCAAAAATTGAATAAGAAACTGAGACTATTCTTACCCCCTCAGACCATTCGGTGTACAACCATTGTGGGCTTTGAAGTCTCGTAGAGGCAACGTTCACTGGTGGCGGTTTGGTCGTGCAAGGTCCAAAATCACAAGCTTCTTGAGTATCAGGTTTTGTTTCGAGATCGCAAGGAAGACCTTGCGTTACGCAAGTTGCGAATCTCGTCCTTTTACCTGGCCCGCAAGACGTCGAGCACTTTGATAGAAGAAGAAATCATTTGTGTCATATGTTGCTTTCGATACAATCTGCATTCTAACTGTAGACTATTTCTGTTACTTGGATTTATGGAAGATTAACCATGATACATTCACTTCTGGATTTTGTTTCTTCTCTTAGGCCACTTATTTCTATAACGGGCTCTTGTAAACGTAATTATTCTGTCCTATACACGAATCGTATTTTCTTCTTTTTAAACTATTAGAATTAGTATTCAGTTATGGACTAATACCTGCTTTTTTTCAACTTTCGAGAAACCAACCATGCGATGAACTTAATACTGGACAAGTTAGCATATCAAATTTGACCTGTCACATATTCAACATGGTATCTAATTGACTTTATCTTATATTTTTGTTATCATTGTCTTTATTATTATGTGCATATTATACTATGACACGTATCAGATCTGATAAAGCTAGGGAAGCCAAAAGGGCTCAATTAATACTCGAAAGCCTCTAAATCACTCTATACCCCAGATATTCAAGGAGCATTCATTGGTAATAAATGTAAAAGCTAACAAAATTAACACGTTCGGTCGCCCAACTGTGTAAGTATAGAGTCTTAGAAGGAAGACAGAGATTTATTATATTCTGTAATCCCAAAGGAATTTTCTGATTAATCATACAGGTGATGTCTGTTATTTTGGACCACGTCTGATTTATGAACTCCTGACTTAGAGTGTCGAAATGTGTAATAAGAGAAGGATAAGTACCGAAGACCATGTGCCCACGTTCCATTGTGGAGGCGGTGCGTTCGTTGGCGTTATTTTCGCGTCGTATTCACACGCTGGCATTTCGCAAGTTTCGGTCGTAGGAAGGATTTTCGGTTCCATGCAGGCGCCGTCGGCTATTCTCATGACTAACGAGGGTTTGATTTCTTGCACGCATTCCAATTCTCGAACTCGAGTTCCGGTACCGCAAGTGACGGAACACTCGCTCCAAGGACCAGCCCTCCATCTTTATAAAATAGAGTTAATTGCTTTAATTAATATTTTGAAAGAAACTTTGAAAATCTTTGAAAATCTTCAATCTTTTGATATTTTAACGCTTTGCCCTATGATTTTCATGATATCTGCAGTCTCCAGAACTACTTTATCATCAATAATTCCCGAGAAAGAAAAGAAATTCGTGTATTTTTTACTTTAAAAGTTAAATGTTAATATCATCAAAATAGTATTTCAGTTTGACTCAAAGAAAACTAATAATATTTCTGTTTGTTGAATCTTTGTTTAACCTTTTCTTGTTAAACCTTTAAAATGTTCTCCTAACAGTAGAACTACCAAGGAAAAAGAAACTGATTTTACTTTGTAATTCTATAAAAAATTATTTAAAGTGAGGAGTAAATTTTGTTGGGATTGCGTGATGTGTGTTGAGTATATTTAAATATGAGTAATTTAATTGATTCACCAATTTGCATTCTTTTAAATGTTGCTTTTCTGGTCTGGTAAAAACAGCTATATGTTAATCGTTGGTAGTTCTAAATGGACAATTAACCCGTCAAGTGGGGAGAATGATTTTATCCACATTGACTTATACTTTTGTGTACAATTTGACGTCACAAAAATGGCCGACATGTCGATTCATTTTAAAAATATTACAAGAAAAAAAACACACCTTCTGTTTTTAATTAAGTTGATAAATTGGAAATTTGTTTTCACCTTTTTGTAGTCAAATACTCCACACCGTGAAAATTCTTTCCGCGCTTAAGGGGTTAAGGATGAATGATTTGAGTGTTTTACTTACTTGGGTGGACAGGGTATGGTATTACACCGTACTTGAACTTCTCCCGGCTTTTCTAATGCGTGACATCTTTTCTGTGGTACCACTGACTGCGTGTGTTCTCGTACGCATATGTATTTTATCATTTGGAAGCCTTCCATTCAAAGAAAAAATGAGATAATAACTTTAATTTAACATTCATAATCTTGAATACATAATCTTACTTTACATTCTTAACAAAAATCTTAGAAAATTACTACAGGACAGTTTAAATGAAAACCTCACAAAAAAATGGTAGAATGTGAGTTTCATAAATTTAAAGTGAATATTAATTACCTCCTCCACAAGATCTACTACATTCGGTGTAACCACTTGCTTTCCATAAGAATTTTCTCTTCTTGTATCGTCTTGGAAGATATGGCGTTTGTGTTCCATCATTGGTTGTAGAACCACTTTCTATTCTGAAAAGTAATGAGCAAACTTTAATCAATAATGTCTTTTAATCGAAGTTCCCATAAGCATGTTCAGGTGTTAGATATGTAAGTAAATATTCGTACCTTCTGTGCGGAGTAGTTGGTGCAATAGGTTCTCCAGATTTACTGGAAACTAAGAATAATATTTACACAATAATATTAAAATAACACTTATAGTTCCACTTGTTGTAAAATAATACATACTCATGCGAATTCACTTAAATATTTGCAGTTTAATTATTACTAATACGGTATGGTCTTATATTATATTAGAGACTATAAATGCAATTATAAAAAGCAAGAGATATAGTGCTGTGGTTATAATAACATCCACAAAATGTAGTTATAGAGAAGATATACATACTATACCAAATACTACAGAAACTTTTAAATTTGAGTGTTATACCTATTTTATGTCCAAAGTGAGAATTCGTGGGGACATTCACATTTCCAGGGATGATGTATCGATAAACAATACCAGGATTCGGTTCCTGATATAAAACCTGATTGGAATGGTAATATTTTATTAATATTTCGGTTCATAAAATAATATGTTTCAATCTATATGAATGCACCGGCTGTGTCATCACGACGTAGATTAATGAATTTTTTGACGCGTAACGTGATAGATTATTTCACTCTATTATGTATCCGAATGTGGTATTGTTTAAAATAATAAACTATTTACCATAACATCGATCGGTTCTTGTAATGGACCAGTAGCAGAGAAACTTTCCAAATGTTGATGTTCTTGGCGAAGGTACACAAAGGTTGTTCCCGCCGCTGGATATTTACCGGATAAATTGATATTGTAATTTCCATTTAACAAGTAGGTGCCATTTTGCAACTTGACCGCTGAAACAACAAAGTATAAATTTACGTTTATCTTCGAATAGTGCAAATGAACATTTCTTTCTAAATATTCTTTTCAGTCAACTTTCAGCTTTATGGTACATGGTTTTTACATTTTTATATAAAATCTGAGAATTATTAGTTTAATATTTTTCATAAATTAAAGATATGATAATAACAACATGCATTGACATCTCGTAAGGAAAGCACATTTCACAATGCTCTTTCCAAGGCATGAAATGGCACATTTGTATGAAGGAATATCAGAACGATCGCGATTGATAGACTTAACAGCCCCCCGTTGCTAATTATTTCACGCGCGTGTCATGCGTTGAGAAGTAAATCGCATAATCAGTCCTGTAATGAAACGCAGAGTCATTCACGGTGTCTGAGTATGGGGATAGCTGATTCTGTCGGTGCAGTGTACGCGATACGATACATTAGAAATATAAACGAGTCATTTGCTAAATGACGTGCACGTCGATTACCCGCTGTGTGTCTTTCATCTCTGTTCAAGCGTAGTTAAACGAAACATTAGATTGGTATTAGCAGCCATTAGTGGCCACATTTGCATAGAACCAGAAGTTTAGCCTTTTTATTTTGTCTCTAACCTATAACTAATATTTCATAAACAATTACTACATACATTCATTTTGTAATAGAATAGAAATCACTTTTTGGTTTAATTATACACCAATTATATTATAATTACAATTGCGTTATTACAACAGAAGTCACTCTGCATAGTTCATTCACTTTCTTCAAAAAAGATTAGATATGCAGTTATTTTTGTTACAACTATTTCTGTCTTCTCACTAAAATGTTTAATTACAATTATGTTACTGTTAAGTTCGTGTTGGCTAATAAATTTTCCGTAAACTGTGAAGTGAATTGAAATCATGGAATAATCTTTTTAGTAACATCACAATGCTTTGTTAAATCATACATCATTGTATAGGATACTAGAAAATATTAAATGGTGTCATATTTTACTCTATTAATACAGCTTCCTCAAAGGTTTCAATTTCTGATGTAAATTCGATGCTTAAAGGCGAACCGCGAACATAACTTTACGGATATGCTAACAAAGCCTTTCGTTCCGTCATGAATTGAATATGGATTCGCGAGGCGAATGTCAAACTTTCGTATTAACACTGAAATTGATCGCTACGGTAAAACCTTCGGCTCGTTTTACATTATTTCACACCTACCTGATTTCTTTCGGATCCAAAGAATAGCCGCACTTCGCAAAACGTTCTATGTACCGTTTAATCTTCTTAGCGATCTACGACACGTCGATTGATCGCCGTAAAAAATCCCCGATCGCGATCGTTTAGAGGAGAATTACGTTTTACAAGGGGGCGCCAGCCGGCATGGATTTTATGACCGATCGATTTATGCGATTCACGACAGATACGATCCAAGACACGACGTACTTTGTATTCATAATAACTCAAAAAGGTTTTACTTTCGAAATGTAAAGGCGAATGGGAACAGAATCTAACAGGTGATAATATAATAATAAATCAATGTAAGAAGACGTACGACTCCAGTAATAATACTTCTCTAGATAAACATTAATAATGTTGAATTTCTGTTTTTTTATATAAGCAAGACACATGTATTTTATAAATAGTATATCAGAACTGAGAGAAAATTCTTCCTTATACCTATATTTTAACACTAGAACTACTTTGAATGTATAATAAATAAAATTCTATAATGTATCGACATGTGTAGGTACCTACCTACTATATGTATAATGCAGCATGACATAATATACTATAATGTAAAATGTATCATGAAATACAAGTCAATATAATTTCTGACAAAAATAACTTTACGATTTCAATAATTGTAAACCAAGAAATTCGAAATCCGTCATTTTGACGCATTCTATGGTTCTAGTGTTAATCATAAAACGATGAGTTTTTGTACGAATATTTAGGATGAAAGATACAAATTATCACTATTTCTAAAATTAATTTTCGAACTTTCTAAACTATTCGAACTAACTAAAATTAAGAACTTTCCCTAAGACCTAATGTAGCTTTACTTATAAACGTTTAGAACTAAAGAAGTTAACCACGGCTTTTTAAGAGGTCTTTTATTAGAGGACATTGATAGAAAAAAGAAAACAAATAAATCAATTTTTTACAACTCGTAAAGAAAACAAATATTATCTTCAAATCATGACCTCTGTTTGCAGAACATTTGAAGGATATGTTACTACACCTTTAAAAAAAATTAGTTTCAATTTCATTACTTTCCATTAAGTAAAAATGTCTATTCTACTTAGATTTCTTTAATGAGAACTTTAAAGTCTATTTACTCGAAATAGCGTTTTGGCGTATGTGCCCTTTTTCCATCACTGTTCAATCTTTTTCCTCAATTGTTCCAATAAAACTCTAGAAATGTATACCCTTTACTCTGAGAAAAACAAAGAAATTCGGAATATTGTCCTATAGAATTGTGATGTAGAAACTTGAGTGAGCAATATGGTATTTGTCAAAAATTGTTCTGTGTCTGTATACTACTACATTTACAGACCAAAAGGAATTAACATATGAATAATAAATAAGCAGAAACGTCATTCTTGTCGCAGTATTTGCTACCGCGCGTCAGAAGATATCATGGAATCTCAGAGACCAGTTACTCAAAGTGCAACGCAGCTTGTAACACGCCTATCAATAGATGTTACACTGCATTTGCAAGAAACGTCGTGCCACGTCCCACTTAGCACGCAACGGGAGAGATTAGATTAGAAGAGGGGTTGGTGCTGCAAAGCACGACCGGGAGGACAGATTCTGAGGATAGGAGATCCCGTTTTGATAAATAAAGAAGGGATCGCGGAACGGGCCGAGCTGATTGCTCACAATCGCGAACAATCACGGCGATGATTTGCTTACTGGCATGGCTCATTAGAATCAGTTTGCTGCGGGTTCGAACGGGATTCCGTGTATCAGCTTGATTCAATATTGTCAGGCAACCTTCGTTTGCTCCCATTTCTCTTCATTCGTTACGCGTTCGTTCGTGGTCTGCTTTATTGTCTTCCGCCAATTTCACGCCTTTGTTGCCGAACGTGTATACATGATTCCATAAATCGCGATTATTTTCTTTTGTATCGAAGACTACTTCTGCATTAAGCTTGTAATAAGGACACCTTCTAATGACGATGTCAATCTGATAGAGTAGATCTGAGAGTATCTAAATATTGGGTTCAGCGGAAAGTTTTTGCGTTTTCTGCTTGTTTAATATCTAATTACAGTGCTTGATGATAATTATTTTTTTTATTACCGTCATCTTGAAGAGTGATTTATCGTATAATGCCTCTACAATTGGATTTTAAACTTTTCGGTTCTTTTTTTTTATTATAAACATCATCCAAAAACGTCAGGTAATAAAATGGTATATTCATCACAAATTGGTTATGGATTTCAGAAATTTGATAGTAAAAGAAATAAATAAATATTAGGTGTACGAATACGTAATCAACTATTTCTTCTTCTTCATAAACTAGTAACACAGTTGAAAAGTAAAACATCTTTCTACGCTTTTTTTCATTCAAAATGGCGACGTACATTAAAGAATGAGGATAAATAACATTAAAATAACATTGGTTTCTGATTTTATCGAAAATAAGTATTGAATTTAAAGAAATATTATGTATCACCTATTGGTACACCTAATACATAGTATACAATAATAGAACAGATCAGATGACAAAAAAATTTGAATAGCAAGTGTTTCTAGAAGTTCTAATGCATTTTGGTCACGCGTTCCTTTGCGCTAAATATACAATGTCACTACCTTACCCAAATAATTCTCCGTGTGTCGCAATTGTGTCACGTTCAGAGCCAGAGCACCTCTTGGGACCGTGGCCACTAGATTGTAACCCAACTCCAAGGTCGGTTCCGTGAAAATCCCATCGATCAGGTGTCCGCTGCAGCGACGCGAGAAACACTGCAATCAGAATTAGCATGGTCTTGATTCATTATACATGCGTTTATTGAATTTTTTACTACCGGCGAAGACAAGCTTAATGGATCTTGTGCTATTTCGTGTTCGCAAATTCTGCATTCGTTATGAGGACTACATCACTTAGAGTAATTAAAGGATTAAATACTTGAGGCATTTTATCGTTCAGCGAATTATTCAACACTTTCGAATTCTAATACGCTTTAGTAATCAGGCATCTAGTAAAAAAACCAATGTGTTAAGTGTACATTTTCTTTTTCCCCTTACCGTTATCATTTTACTTCTGATAAAAGTAATAGGACGCTACTTAGATTCTTCCAGAGATATTCATCATTTTAATCCTGTCTTCAAGGATGATGACGAAACAACAGCTTTCCTGAAAGGAAATCTGTTGCTCTAAAATAATTAAGGGATCAGGTTTCCAGCACAATCGAGGCCGATACCTTATAGATCCATAGTTATTTGAGTAGGTGATCACTGTAATCACTTTCAACAGTGTGGTAATCCTTTGTTTTCTCGTTGACACCTAACAATTTCATTATCATATAAATCATAAATCGAATGAATTTTTCGCTATACCTACTTGTGTTTCTTAACCTAAGAGACTACCTTATATGTACTCTAAAAGAAATTTACAATACAAATCTAAACATCGTTCCTTTTTTCAAGTAATACTCTTTGTCATTTAAAATGATTAATCGTGAATACTTGTCTTGATCTTCCAATATTTAACACAATTTAAGAACGAAGAGTGTAAATATATATATGTGTACAGTACTGGAAATATTTATTAACACTATCACTTATACCTCTTTTATTATTACTACTACAACAATGAATAAAAACAGATATTTATTGCACAAATGTGTAGCTCACTCTCTTGGGCGAAATCTATTTCAACCCTCCATGACCCACCTTATTTTTACTGCTTCTTTCACCCCCTAAGTCTTTTACGTCCAGACTGATTCTTTTTTATCTTATAGGTTTCCAAAACACCTGGAAAAATTCAGAGCTACTTCCCAAGGTCCCTATTACACGATCCAATAGTTTCTAAAGTTGAACATTGATTTTAATAACGATCCCGCCGTTTCGTAGATATTCAAGCGCGAAATTTCACTTACGACATAAAAAACCTAATACCCATTTTCACTTCTGTACATCTATATCTTTGGAAGAATCAGAGATGGGCAAACTAATTATCTAGATAAAAAGTTTCGAATAACGAATAAAAAATAAAAGTATTTCTTCATTTTTAACTGTTCAAACGTGGAAATTTCAATTTTTATAATAAAATAATACTTCTTTATGAATTGAATCGACATTTGTCGAACAATTATTTAATCTCATTAACTGTTTAAAGCTCAGAACGACACCCTTAGATACTGTTGCTTTTCACTGTGTATTCGAATAAAATTCTGCCCAACTCTGGGAAGGATCAATCAAAACGCAAAGGAAAGAAATCTCCAAAAAAAGAGTTTCAGCACAAACACTTCTGTACGTCAAGCGAGCCCCGAAGACTCGCGAAACGCAGAAATTCGCGAGATCGCAATACGTGATTCCATTCACCTCGTCATTCAAGAACGCCGGCCATTTCCACGGAATAATTAGTCAAAACAGAATTGCTGTTTACACACGTGGCTACTTAACCGCGTCTGTGCAAACAGCCTGCAGCGTTATTGAATCAAGCGGATTCGGAGCACCGTCGAGTCCTACGAATTAGTAAGTCACAACATGCCTTCTCGCTGGACACGTGTTTGGACACGGAGGAGAGACCACGATGAAAATTATGGCTGTCCCAGGGCAAATTTAGCTCTACGGTCCCGGCTGCGTTGTATCGTCCCGTCTTTCCGAAATGGTGACAGCTCCACCGTGAATGCAATCGGAAGTCGAGACGTTCCGGATGTGTCGATGGTTCGATCGAGAGTAGCAACTCACGGCCATTGAACACTTGGACGATGTATCACGAGGAATTTCGTTACACGTCGCTACCATCAAGGACCAATTTGCGTTGCATCCGCGTGGTTTCCATCGAATAATAGCCATCGATATTAATGGCACCGCTACGACGATGTTTATTAGTATTCTGAACCACGCAGCTATGCAGTTATTCGTGATTTTAATCGAGACCAGAAAGAAAAATTACAATGATTTCCTGGAAGAAGATCCTTTGACCGTGAATAGAAGATTCCGTTGTGATTAGTAGCTATGCAAATCGGCACGTGATTTGTATTCATAAGAAATATTGTCAATCTGGACACAATGTTACGAGGTAAAGGATGCGAAGGATATTGTAACATTGTGGCTGTACGGTGTACGCTGCTTGTTCCCCCGATTGCGCTTGACGAAGAGGATTTAAGACGATACGAAATATTGTATGGTAAATTGCGCAGTATTCTACGTGGGTTAGCATCACATGGGCGTGGAATCGTGATGTGTATATAGGACGCGAAAGACGGGTATAAATTATAGGGGAAGACCACATGGCTACGTGGCCGCGAGTGCTTTGATGGTGATTCAAGTCGGATCTGGAACTTCGTATCTATTACTACCGTTTGATTGGGTGATTAATCACTGATGGCTTTCTTGAACGTTCAATTCTATTTCGGCTGCCATCGCTTCGCGGCAATTCGGGGATGCATCACGGTCACTGTGACGTCAAGGCATTCATTTTGTTTGTACAACTGTTCCGCAAACTTGCCAAGACTACTGAACGCTCCATTAATAAAAATTAATGTTTTCTGATTTATTACATATTTTTCGACGTTGTATTTTTTTTTTTAGGTTCAAGACGCACGGTTATTCAGTTAATCTCTTATTGTTGGTGACGAATTTTTCGGAGGGTATAACAATGTATTAATCATGAAAGATTGACTGACTTGTCATTAGTATTAAATTATATCTTTTTTTCTTCTCTTTCTGTCACATCGATTAGTACATACAGTGGCTACCAAAAGTTTCTGGCCAAACTGTAATTTCACCATATTTTTGTCATAACTTTTGCCAGACCTATATTTGTCAGAAACAGAAGAACAGATTATTTTTATACAAGAAAATTTTTAAAACTACCAAATCTGAAGGAACAATGTATCCTCAATGTGAGTATATGAAGTGTTTATTCGTATTATGTATTTTTAAAAAGATATGTTGAAATTACAATTTGGTAGAGGTCATACGTCATTAACAACGAAGTACAGTCTGAGTACGATGTTTAAGGCAATCAGATTTTAGAGTAAAGTTTTGTGTCTTACAGAAAATTAATTTTGTGCCTTAAGTGTTTCTGTGAAATGACAGCTAAGTCAGGGTTTAGGTTATCTTTTCGTCTTTGTGATTTGAAGCTTCTGCACTTAAATAGAAGATGATTGGTAGACATATGTTTGTGGTAGTAGTTGCAATAACGTGGTTCTGTTTGTTTTATTAAGTACATTCATGTGTAATTTTAGAGTGACCAGTTCTTAGCCGGGGCATAATTGCTTTTTCTTTTCTGTTTACATTGCTGTGTGGTATTGGTTGGTAAAAACCCTTTACTATGTTATGAATTTTATATATTATCTTATATTTAGATTAATTCTGCGTCTGTGGGCAACTCATCTACTTGTATTATAATATTTACACCACTGGATATTTCATTGTATTGACGTTCATCACGTTCACCAATATTAATTTTGTTCTATTTAAACTATTTTATAAAAATAGGAATGAATGATAGTCTAATAGGAATATGTCTAAAGAATATAGAAGGCTCTCACAGTTTATCTCGTGAAACTTCCGTTTGGTCTGAAATGATGCATGAGGCTTAGTGTTATCATATTGGAAGATGACCCCTTTTCGATCAGCTAAAACAGAGTGATCCTATTGCAATATTGGCAACTTCGCCTACACTACTCTAAACCGTCAGTGATCTTTTCAGTGTATACTCGTAGATTTGTCCACAGTAGAACGTATATGTCATTGTCAAACTGAATTATGCCCGTACGTAATAACTTCGAAGCTTTCTTGAAATTAAAAGTTTAAGTAAGTTATTTCATAATCCTAATTTTATATTGTATTACCTGTTAATTAACACTTAACTATTGAAGTGGGGTTTGAGGAACTCCATGAAGTTCTTAAAGAAATGAGATCAAATACATATCCATGTATGTATACAGGAACCACTGGTAATTAGTAGCTGCCAACTGACAATAAAGGAGCGTTTTAAGCTAAAAAATATTGTGTAAAATAAACTAAACGGAAAAAAACTCTTTTGAAAATAATTCTGAAGTGGGGTTCTATGAATCCCTGAACTGCTACTTTTTTAAACTGTAAACATGTTCGTATCGCCAAACACGACCTACTTCCAAATTATTCAGCATAAACCCCGTTCGATGCAATCGTCCACAGTAAACACAACGCGAAAAAATGTTCGATTCGTCGTTCCACCATCGTCCACCATTGTCCTTGATAGCCGACAGAGCTGAACGCGTCGCTGTTCCGTTGCGCGACACTTCTTTTTTCAGTAAAAGCTAATCAGTAACGTGCATATAAAGCCGCGCCCAAAGTGACACTCCTCACACTCTGATTGGATTAACCCGGGGATGAATGTCAAGTTACTTGTTGCTCACACGGGATCGATGTTAATTGTATGAATATCGCATGAGCGAATTTATAAATGGAACCAAGTGAGGGGGGGAACAATGAGCGGTCTACGGCCACGGGTCTCGATTACCGTTCGATAATGTCAAACGACGTGAAACAGGTCCCCGTTCGGATCGTTCGATATTAACCCGGCGATGGATGGAGAGTATCATACCGGTGGTACCGGACGTTAACATTATCTTCCATCGATGGTTATCTAGGATTTATATTTATGACACCGAGCCGTGATTTATAACCGTTCCTCGATAGATTATAATTACAATGAAATTTATGGAATATCTTAATTACGTAACGATTCGGTACGAACACACCGAGGATAATAAGTTACTCGAAAGGCTTATATGCATAAAGCA